TAGTTTTGTACACATAGTATTATTTTAACACGGGGCAACCCAAAGGAGCATTCGGTGAAGCAGAAAGCGAGCATTTGCTTTGGGTCACAGGCTTGTTGTTTGCTACGGAATAATCTGTTCTATGCGACTTGCGTCAGGCGTGCCAGCCTTTTAATCAGTTTAAGATTATCACCAGCTTAACTCTCCAGCTCAAAACCATGGAAAATATACGCGCTTGACTGGCTGGCGTGCAGCTCCACCATGCGGTCAAACAGGGACAAGCACGCTGGAAGTCTGCTTTGTAAAAAAGTGCTCTGCGAGATCCTCGATACCGCACGTTATCAACCAACTGGCCAGCAGCTTACGGGTCGATGTCGGTGGGCCTGTCGGGACACTCGTTTGACGATAACGACACGTTAGGACAGCATAAAAGACGTGTTAAACAACTGCCAAAACGTGTTAAACAGCAATCAAGACGTAAGTTGTTAAATGCTCTTGCGAGGAACACCCCACGTGTAGATGAGACGGTACTGTTAGCCGTATTCCTCGTAGAATAGTCTTTCTCCTGGTCATTCTACGAGGAATACGGCTAGCAGTGCTAAGCGTCAAGACGTGCTTAACACCGCCCAAGACGCGTTAAACGGTGCCGCAGACGTGTTACACAGCGCCCAAGACGTATTCAGTGCATGCTATGGAGGCGTTTCACGCCCACACATCAGAACTAAACATTGGCAGTGAACCCGTGTAGAAGCTGTAGGATTCTTTGGTCCGTATTTTGATAGCATAAATAGGCTGCGTTATACCCTGGCAAGGCGGGTTCGATGCCAAGTCGAGATGCTTTTACTGAGTTCGGATACCTTGGGCGGCAGTCAACTTTGGTTCACAATGATGCGAATAGTTTAGATCGGAAAATAGTAGTCTCGTGCAGTCAAAAATAATGCTATTGGAAGCTGGCTAATTCAACCGACTGGTGGGTTCAGAGCTGTCCGCAAGAATGTCACTTATAATGAGCGGCTGGAACGGCGGTGATACATGCAGGCGGTCGATAGATGTGACCAGTAGAGTCATCCATTTTCCACGTCAACCAACTCAACTTCACCAAAAGGTAGCTGGAAGATAGCATTAACATCAGATCAAAATGCCTCTAAATTTCTGAAACCTGGATATTTCGATTATGTGCATGCATGAAGTTTTGTCAAAGTGCTCATGCCGAACGCATATTTAAAACATTTGGCATTTCTCGATCATCCCTGCGTGTAAACTCATCGAGTCGATGCAGCCAATTCTGCAAGACCTAGCCGGCCGTTGACTGTGTTGAGGGGCAGCAGGTGGCATATTCTGGTACATTTTGGTGACAGGTCCATCTCCAATGCCCTCCTTCTGTCGTTTCTCACTTTCAATTTGAGACTGACACTGTGATGTATAAAATGCGCTGGCTGCGTAGTCTGTAGACGGCTAGTATGTTCTTTCACATTTGTTTTACTATTTCTTCGCATCAACACCGGTACCAGACAAATCCACGTGCCCTATATTATATTGCTAGGCATTGTATGGACTTTATGTATTGATCTACTAGCCAACACACACTCGGGTAGGGGTCGCAACTCGACCCTTACACATCTGAAAATACAAGAAAGCTAGAATCTCCAAATGTTCAGGGCAGATATGTCATTATGTTCAACTCATCTGCGTCAGAATTTGATGTCCCTAGGTAGTGACATCTTGGCCATGAAGGGAGAACAAGGTCAAGCTCCAGATCAGCGTCCGAAGTGCCGTCAGACCTCCCCACGCAGCCGTCGTTAACCTAAATGCCTTTTTTACAGCAAAGGGTCACTGATGTAGATATAAGATCAGCGACCTTTTTTGACGTTGAAAAGGTCAAGGTGACCAAAAACTTTCGAGATTGTTTGGATATTTCAATTTAAGATCAACATCAAGAATCCCTCTTGTTGGCATGTTCCTCAAGCAATATGTCTTCTCAGTTCGGTGATCTCCCGTGAAATTTATGAAGGCGTCGGGCGATAAAAAAAACATGATATAATATAATATCTAATCTACAATATTAAGTTACAAGTTGAAATATTCATCAGATGTCTGTTCACGTCGATGTGGTGTAGGGATCCAGAATGAGCGTCAAAGCTATCCCATTAAGTAACTTTTCCAGCAGTGAAGTAGTTGGAGTTTGGCTTTGATATGACCTTCATACCAAAAACAAGGTCAATGCAATCAGTCAAAATCCTAGTTTCGAATGCCTTATTATCCAAGAACCCATCTCAAAGCTGGAGGACGCCGTTTACCATTGGTCCATATGGAGAGGAGCCCGTCCGCGCTCCTGCTGCCACCTAAGGCACCGCAGTTTTTCTTCTTTCCGTCAGATGTCAGCACAGAACAGGGGCTGCAGTGTGTGAGCTGGACGTGCACCGCTGTGGCCATCAAATGCTCCGAGTGCATTCACGTCCTGCATGCTCTGTATGAAGGCTGCTGTTACGTCATCCCAGACCAGGACAATCCTGCAAGGTATGACGTCACCTCAGCCTTGACATGACGTCACTGTCGGCGGATGACATGACGTCACCGTCCAGCCAGGCGGTGACGTCACCGCGGTGGTGGTCGGCGCCCAACGACGCTGCTGTGGGGGTGCTGGCGGTGCACACCCCGAGCACAGTCAGCGTCGTTCGGTCCATCGGGCCGCCACGGTGTCCGCCCCCCCCCCCCCCCCCCCTCCTCCCCGCCGCTACAGCCGTGGCCAGCGCGACACGCTCTAACGTGTGAAAATGGTGTAATATGAGGTAATATACATGGTAACGTAACACGCAATGTAGAATGGCATCACGAGATGAAAGGCTATGCTATACTTATATATGGCAATCTGAATACAAACATGAATAGATTCGTACTGTTACCAGCTCCTTTTAACTAGTGTTCAAACCTCATTCAACTGCTTGAGCCCGCATTGATAGCCTTAAACACGCATTGACGGTTTCGACGTCATCTTTAAACTGGCATGGCCAGATAAGCAACAGGTGATCAAACCAGCCATTGGCGAGGCCAGATAAGCAGCAGGTGATCAAACCGGTCATTGGGGAGGCCAGTTAAGCAACAGGTGATCAAACCGGTCATTGGCGAGGTTCGCAATAGGCAATGGCTAACGCCTACCCATTCTCATTATACCCTACCCATTCTCATTATAGGCCATTATACCATACTCCATCCTCATTGTACCCTGCCCCATTCTCATTATACCCTTCCCATTCTCACGCTTTGTTAGACGTAGGTGGCAGTCATCGTCACCTTGACGTGTGCGACAATACGATTGTGCCATCTGTTGATAGGTTTCAGAATCACGGTTTATTCCATATGACCACTAGCCATTTAGGGAATTTGACCTGCCCTGCTTGTCCACAAAGTGCAAAAAAACCTTCCCATTCACAGGACGCAGGAGATCCTCATTAGAGGCCCTGAAACAGGAACTCTCATTGTGGCATGGACCCCGGACATTGCAAACCGCGGACCCCGGCCTCGTTTCTGCTTGGGAAATGGGTTTCAAGGGTTCAGACGGGCGTGAAGCCGTCTGTTCAGTGCTCTTGGTCTCTGACCGACTTGGACACCCGGCTTTTCTCAGGGGTTCCTCAAACGCTGAGAGGATCTCTGACTGATATTTCAGGTCAAGACCCCACGTGCCGCGATTTTTTATGCAACCTACAGTCAATTCTTCGGGCCCTTATGCCCTCCGACCAGGCCTTTGATCTTCGGGTGCAGCGACCGCCCGGGCCCCCCTACGGGCCTCACCGAACACTTCCCTTGGTCTGCTCGGGGTCCTTGCGAGCACAGGACCCTCTATTAGGCGTTGTGGGCCCCTGACAGAAACAAGGCTCCGACCATCGTAAATCAATGACCCCGGCTTTATAGATAATTGGGAAGTGAGCCCTCAAATCCGAACTAAAAAACCCGAAACGAAATCGACACGGAGCCAACTGTGCGGTAGTGGTGATACCTGACAGACATATAAGCCGATATCGACCTAGGGGGTCCCGATTGGCGCAAAGGGTTCTCTGGCCGATATTCGAGGGTCCTTCTTCGCAGTCCGGGATCCATGAATAAGACTCCGATCAGCTCTTTATGTCCTTAGACCCTCCAATCGTGCCCTTGATCGTCGGACCCGGTTAGCCTTCTAGGCTCTTAGGGCCTCCTCAAGCATTGTCTCTGGCCGATTCAGCTCCCCTTGACAACACAGGGCCCCTGTTAGATGCTATGAGGCCACGAGCAATGTAAATCAATGGCTCAAGCTTCGCCCCCGCTTGGGAAATGGTCCCTTGGGTTCATGCTGCAACGGAGCCGACTACGTAACTGGGGGTGTGTGACCAAAGTATAGGCAGTTATCGAATCAGTGGGCCACTGATCAGCGCGCAGGCCCCTCTGGCTGGCATTGGAGCGTCCAGCCGGCCTTTCAGACCCTTCGGGCCCTCAAACCGGGCACTTAATCAAAAGTTCCGAGGGGCCTGAAGGGTACCTCGGAACCTAATAGGGGAACGTGCCTCCTGACCCCTGCCTGCGCTACTGGGTCTTAATACCAGCTCTGGGACGGGTCGAACTCCCGACGCAGCGCCCCTTCTGACAGCGCATCCACCACCGCAGTCTGCCAACGGAGGCCAGGAAGCGCCTTCCCCACCGCTTTCTTCTCATCCCCTACCACCAACCGACAGGCATCCAGCCGTCGCAAGAAGGCTCAGTCCTCTACCGCATCACCCCACGCCAATATCTCCCTCGACTCCATTTGACATGCTCCCACTCGCTGCTACTGGTGTGATATCCGCGCGCGCTCCCCGGCATCAGAAGACTGGCGTCGCAGTGACCGCTGACCGCGACGGCCGGTCAGCACTCGCCTCCGACGGTCGGCCGCAGAGGCGCGCCCAGGCGCGCGCACTGGTAACGCACCACACCACTGCACTTTACTGGCATATTTGACGCGCTTGCGACCAAAGTTGCGCCACGAATTTCATCACGTTTTCGCTTGCCACGGTGGTATCAGGCAGCAGGCGGGCGAGGCTTTATTGGGCGGAATAAACAAATATTTTACTTGAGGAAGGCTGTATGTTGATCTTTGCGAACGTATAAGATTTCTAGAGAAGGTACAGACAGCCCATGTGAACTGATTTATTTTTGCTATAGGGGTATCGAAGCTCGTTAACCATGGTAAGTCCTGGGATCGGAAACTTACGTCCATGTTGGTGATTGGAGGGGGGCAGGTGTGCCTATGTCTCTTTTTTAAGAATTGTGAGAACAACTCTGGGAATAACGGGCACAAACAGCCCTGATGTCTGCTAAAGTTAGTTGGTTTGTGTACAAATATGCATGAAGTGAGGACAAAAACTGTCATGTCAGGTCTGCTTATACAATGTCTGTGTTAAAAATGGAATAAATGATGATATCTGAACTGCCCCTAACAGAGGGCTGCATCCTTATACTGCTGTGGCACAAATCAGTTTATTTTAATGTGTTTTACCTCTAGTATGCTTAGCATGCTGTAGTTAAGTATGTTTTTATTCACTGTGGGTTAAGTACATCAGCCTTTGGATTTGCACTGTGAAGTCTAGAAGAAGCAAATTCTGAGATCCACATAGTTTTCAGCGTAGTAGTAATTTGCATTTGATCAGTGTCTGTGCCTTTTTTGTCCCCTGTTGGCTATTATGTTTATTGATGGATGTGGCTGCATTCTACACAGCTTGTTGCTCACATGCTTTAACCATTGTTTTCCAAACACAGGGGAAATTAGAGAAGAAAAAGGAAGCCAAACTAATTCACCCCAATAGCAGAAAAGCTACTGCCTTAGTCAAGAAGAATATCAGGTAAGATTTTTCATCAAGCACCCATTCCCTTCTTGTATTCGCTCACAAGCTTCCTAAGCAAGCCTGTTTTCTTTCCACCCGCAGCTTTTTTATGCAGGTTAGTTGGATGACTGAGGAACTTCTGCTAATCTGGGTGGAGGTGGATGGTCTACTCTGGCTATTTCTCTTACCTGTCTACCCCATTGCCTGTTGTGCTGCATGCCTGCTGAGGGTATGGTTAGATGGCCATTGGTGTCAGATGGGATGGTTGGTATGGTAAAGATGCTCTGTCTTTGTTTTTTCTAGCATGGCAGCAGTCTGTATGATTCTCTTGTGACCTTTTTAAAATGTCTGGTTTGCATTTCAAATTGTTTCTGTCCTAGACTGCAGCTGTGGGGACACATTCAGGTACTGGTTATGGCTCTCCATGCTCTGTGCGTGGGTTACCTTCAGTGCCTGGCTGCACTTGCCAGGCATTTCTAAAGTTTTACCCTTCCCAAGTAGTGGACAAGTGGAATGCACTCACATTAGGCAGGGAAACAAAGTATGGAAGCAGCAATGGTGAATTACATCAATTATGGAGGGAGTGTATGGTATAAATATGTCACCAACACATTTGTAAGAATGTGAACATCTTGGTTTTAATGGTATTTGCAGGGAGCCCAGGTGCAAGGCAAGAATTACTTCCATATTGTGAATGAAATTTTGCAATAACTGCATGCCTGTTTAACAATTTATTATTGCTTAATTAGTAATGTTACAATTATTAGTGCTAATTTGATACATTAACTTCTAATTGCCCACCAGAACTGCGCGACGTGAGGCGAAAAAGCAGCAGGGTCACCAGCACCTGCGGCTGCTGGCTGAGCGGCTCATCTGGTTCAGGGACCACCTTGACACTGACAAGCGGAAGTACTCGGTGGAGGAGACCCACGAGCTTATAGAAAGGTAGGGGCAGCAGTTGGTAATGGCAATGGTCCAAAGTGCTTGGTTCTGGTCAGTGATTCACAGGATCTGACATTGGTCAGTGATTTGTGCTATGGACCTGGCCATTGATTCACAAGGTATAGCGCTGGCCAATGACTGATGGTATGGGGTTATTCAGTGATCAACATGGTGTGGTGCTGGTCAATAGTTCACAGGGTATGGTGCTATTTAGTGATCAGCAGGGTGTGGTGCAGTCCAATGAACCAGAGCGCAGGGCGCTGACCGAAAAAAGCTTGTGATAGCGGTGTTTGGTGTTATGGGTTTGTCGATAACGTGACCATCTTGCGCCATTCTGAAAGACGCCAGTCATGGTCACAGTTGTGTGGTTAAAAGGAATGCTCCGCATTTGAAGATGGTGAGGGAAGCATCAGATATGATGAAAGAAGCTCACTTGTAACTGTTGGTGTGCTTTCAATTGCAAGAGCTTGCTCTAGGCAACACAATGTTGCTATTCAATGCGGCATCGTTCCGGTGCGTCATCTAAGGTGTTTGCGATGTCAGAGTTGTTGTCGGACTGTCCGTACGAGACGTGCCACTTTCGCAGACGGGCTAACTCTCACGTGGTGCGTTAACTTGCTGGGCGGTGGTTTGTTATCTTCACCCATCTTCACTCACATGCTTAGTTCGGGCGTTATCCTTAATTTGTTCGAGGCGTGCCGGTAGTGTAGTGGTTAACGCGTCTGCGTTAACCACTGCGCGTCTGGGAAACCAGAGGTACGGGGTTCGATTCCCCGTGGTGCCCGCCCCTCCTGCCAGGATGAGAGGCAGGCGACGCCATACAGCCTCAGCAGCTGAGTGCGTCGTAAAGCCCCAATAACACACACACACACATAAGTTATTCGACTTCCAGTCTTATTTCCGTCATGTTTAGAACTACTACCCAAATTCGTATATTATGTTTCCCAAACCGCGGCTCGTATTCGGCACTTCCACTCGATGCATTGAACAGGTTGAAGGGCAATTGCTGTCTGGTGATGCCATGAGTCGTACGACAGGCATGAATAGTTCAATGATCAGATTTGTCTTGGCCTTGAGCACTACATGGCCATTGAGGTGGCGGTAGTTGCGTGGCGTTTCTATGACCGCACGCATCCCTGGGTGACCTTCAGATAGGCTGCGCGAAATAGTCCGCACAAGCTCACGGTTATCAAGCTCGGGCATAAGTGAATTTTGGTCTTAAGAATCGCAGAACTGTGAATTGTATTGCATGATCTTCCAAATGGCTATCTCATTTCAAACCCCCATACAAGTGTGCAACACTCCCTTTCATTGTCAATGGTCAATTGTTTTCGAGGTCGGATCGTTCTATGCCGTGACGTGGGAATGACGTCACAGCCACTAACCAATAGGGTCATTGTTTCCATCAGGGGCCGGCGCAAGACCCGTGGAAGCCCTGCCTTGTAGTGCCTGTCCCTGGACTAGACCTCTGGGCTGGACCCCTGGACTAGACCCTTGCACTGGACCCCTGGTCTGGACCCCTGGCCTGGACCCCTGGCCTGGAACCCTGGACTGGACCCTTATACTGGACCCCTGGGTTGGGCCCGTGAACTGGACTAACCCATAGACGCCAGATGGTTGGTGCGTCTTAAGCCCAAACCAGCATCAGCACCGGACAAACCCGAAGCAGCAGGCCACAGCGTCCAGCCACCACGAGTGCCGCCCTATGCCTCCATCCGACAAGGACATTGCCCACACCGTCCTACGACCGGCCCCCAGCGGACGGCCCTGACCCCCTGACCTTGTGCGGGCCAGGTACATAGCGCGCCAGGAGGCGGAGGCGGCCCGCCTGCGCGGCGCCGCCGCCCCCCGCGGTCCGGCCGGCCGGCGGCCGCGGCCGCCTCCCCGGCTCGAGGCCATCGTGGCGGCGCAGCGAGAAGAGGCGGGCCAGTTCAGCCAGGCTGGTTTCGGTGAGTGGTGGCGGCCGCGGTGGTGGTGGTGTATTTTCTTCCTTGGGAGGGCAGGAGAGGTTACGAATGGGAGCCACGTAGCTCCCATGACTTGCGCGGCTCTGCCAGAAGCTGCACGGGACCCCGGGTCCCGCCACGATTTCATGTTGTTTTTTTTTAACCGGCTACAGCTTGATGTGTGCATTTTTGTAACTCACCACGGTTTGATGTTTGATTTTTATTTTACCCATTGTGGTTTGATAAGTACTTTTTTGGCGGAGGTGGCGGAGCAACGCGGCTGTCGCCGGCAGTGCTCGGGCGTGCCACTCGTGTCCCAGGAGGACCTGGTGAAAGTTGACGAAAATATCAACAGTTTTGGTTCGGGATTTTTGGCTTCATTTTCGGTTGGCACTCTCTAGCGCAGTGCACAACGCTGGTGCCCTCGTGTCACTAGTAGCACTGAAACTTCGTGGTTCACGACATGTAACGCTTACCTTCCATGGCACAGTGCATAATACTGGTGCCTTCGTGTCGCGTGTGACGGTGGTACTCCGTGGTTCATGGCATGTAATGCTTACCCTTCCTAGCGCAGTGCACAACGCCGGCGCCCTCGTGTCGTACTCCATGGTTTGTGGCATGTAATGCTTACCCTCCGTGGCGCAGTGCACAACGCTGGCGATGTCCAGTATCATGCGTGTCACGCCGGTGTTTTCTGGTGCAGAGTGCGTGGACCTGACCAGCGAGGAGGCCGTGCTCTGGCTGCGGACCTGGGACGGGCAGGTGAAGCTCGTGCCGCAGGTCAAGACGCACAAGTTCATCAGGGGACGCCTCGCGGACCCGGCCGAAAGTTCCGCCTCCAAAGATGGCCAAGAGATGGCAGGAGACGTTGACGATACGCCCCCGCTTGCTGACGGTGATTCGGGCATGTCTGATAGCTAGTGAATATATCGGGGAAACAACCGCCTGTTTTCCGCTGGGTACGGTGTAACATCGCCCCCAAATGACGTCAGTTGCACGGCAACATACCACAAACGAGCAACACCGTAGCAGCACAGGTGGCGCGAAATCGTGGAGGGTGATTACAGACCGAGCAAATGGCGGCAGGGCAGTGTTTTATGTGAACGGCAGGGCAGTGCGAATGGCGGCAGGGCAGTGCCCCCGCGAGACCGGATTTTTTTTGTGGATGGCGGCAGGGCAGTGCCCCCGCCGTCCCGCTCACAGTTCATTGTCTTTGCCATGTAACCGCGGCAGGGCAGTGTGGTGCGTTGGAGGCCACTGCTGTTACGCATTCGGTTTGTCGCGTCTTTGCCATGTACGAAGCGTGGCATCTTCGCCTTATCACACACGCGGTCGGTGTCTGAAACGCCGCCTCAGCTAGTACCGGGCTTATATTATATAAAAGAAGTACTAAACGGGCACACAACAATGCGGGCGGCGGGGAGCGGGGAGCGGGGGACAACACACGGGCCGGCCGCAAGGGGCGGCGGCACATTGTCGGGGTCACATGTAACACAACCGGGAGAGAACGGAAAAAGTTCACACAACACGTCCGAGATTGACCCCCGCTAGCGCGCCGCAAATCCGGTCTCGCGTGAAAGTGCTGTGATTTCGACGGTGTCGGAGCGACCTGTGCGCGCCTCGACCGCAGACCTCGGGTTCTATCCCGCGGCGAGGCGTTCGAGACGGGCCCGTGCGCCCGCGCAGTGCGTTTCAACATCGCCCGCCCCGCGAGCGCTCGGCCTCACGGCTGCCCCGGGGTCTCGCGCTGGCAGAGGACGAACGCAAGCGACGCTAGGCGCCTTAGCGAACCAAACCTGACATCGGCACTAATATTCTGACTTTCGATCGGAATTCACGGCTTAACGCCTTGGTGCGAACGTGACAGCGCGGGGGTCTGGACACGCGAAGGCCATTCAAAACGCGTTGCGGGCGGCGTGGCGTCCGACCCGCAAAGCGGAAGACCCCGCGATAAAACCAAAGCCCGGTCCTTACACCACGCTGCGATCTTTCTTTACGTGCTGCCTAACTGTTCGGAGCGAGCCTCCTTTTTGACAGACCTGACAGACCCTCCTTTGACAGACCTGGTGGCGCCTGAAGACGCCACCAGAGCGCAAACGAGTTATCCCATCGACGACGCGTTTCTCCTTCCCCGCCTCAGGGAACTCACCGGTACCACATGCCGGAGCAAAACACAGGACAGCGTGCGTGCGGCAGCGAAACGAACGGCTCCCGCCGAGGCACCACACGTGATAAGCCCGGCTTTCTGCACACGCAGAGCACTCGCGAACTAACGCGCGCGTGACAATGGCAGATCGACGCGTTAAGCACGAGCGCATTTTCTGTGCGACCTGACCTGGCACACTCCAGATCATGGCATCCTTCTCCAGCGTTGTAGCGAGTGTAAGCACTAACCTACTGAGACTACCCGCTAACATCTCGACATCACATTGAGAGAGCATTTCATGGAATAGCGCGTTCTCTTGGCAGGGGGCTCCACCGCACCCACGTGACCGCCCAGAGCACGTCCAGACGACACCTCGCGGTGCCACCACACTCATGCCCACGTCCTCAAGTCGCGCACAGCGTGATCTTCAGACCGAGCAGCGGCCGCGCCGGCCCAACGCAGACGCCTGGCGACGCGCGCGGCGGGACGGTGCCGGCGTCCCTCCGATCGCCGGTGGAGATTCCGGCCGGCGGCACCATCGACCGCGACCGCGTCACGCCGCGGCCGCGCCGCCCCGGTCCGGCGGGTCACGGGGTCTTCAATGGGCGCCTGTGAGGGTGAGTTACGGCGGATGCCTCGGCCACGGGCTGTCGCGAGGTTGCATGGCCTCAGGTGTGGCCTCCGAGGCCAAGGAAGCGACCTCAGAGGTAACGGCCGGGCGAGAGCTCGCGACAGTGCGTCAGTAGATACTATTTGCTTGGTGACGGCAGTGCCCCCGGGACGACGGTGGTCGTTCCAAAAGTCGCCCAACGACATCCGGTCAGGCGGCGGCCCGGCCGGTCCAGCAGCGACTTCCGAGACGACTCGCATCTCCCAGCGCGGCGGCCCCAAGACCGACGACAGGTCGCCGCGGCGACGCCGAGTCCGCAGCGGCGACCTCTCGTCACGTCGGTGACCCCGAGGTCAGGCCGGTGACCCTGAGGTCACCGCGTGACCTCAGAGGTCGAGCGGACCGGCCGGGGGGCGGGCCGCCTGCAGTCGCTGTCAGCGGCCCCACTTGGACTTCTGCGCGAATATATCAGCGCGAAGGTTCTGCGCGAAGCAGATGCCCAAAATCTGCAAAGGACGCGGTGGACTGTAAACCCGCTCTCCCTATCGGGGGGGGGGGGGGGGGGGGCGCCGCAGATATAGCCGACGATTGGCACGACCGACGTGTGGATGTGACATCTGGGAATCGGACGCGGCGGAGTCGCCTGGGTCGTCGCCGGCATCGGCGGCACTGAACTGGCTGAACGTTCAACGGGAGGGCGTTTCACTGAGAAACGCCTCTGGCCGCGCTTGCTGGCTCTACGATGTGGCCATCATATCCAAAGCGAGACGATGATGCGGCGCACAGATTTCAGTTGACTGTATTCAGGGGGAGAGGAGCCCCGTCCTGGCAGGACACGGCCGTACGCAATGATCGCGGCCCGAGTTGTCGGTATACTTACAGTGTACTTACAGTACAGAGTACAGTCGAGCCAGCACAACGCGCGATCTTTGCTGTACAGACAACTCATACACATGACACAGATGCGATACGCCAATACAATGAAGGGTAAAGAGGCAAGCACACGATGCGCGAGCTTATTTTGAAGTGAAGGTGCTGTACAGTCTCACCTGAACGTGGCCGCATGCACGCCCACTCACAGGTCTGCTTCTTACCGTGCTCGGTGAGAAAACGTCTCCCAACACAGTATTAGAATCGTATCTGCCGGCTCATCGACTGGATCAGTCATCAGTAATGCCACTACGCACTGGCGAGCGCAGCCAGCAAAAGTTCCCGCGACTAGCTTCGTACCCGGGACCTTTGGCTCACCTGCAGGAAGGCGATACTCACGGCCACACTGGCCACAACCAGCAGATTACGCTCGACCCACGCTTCGCCAGCCGTCAGGCATCCCTGGTCGTAGATCTTCTTCGAGTAGTCGAGCGGCTGAAACGGCCCACACGCTCAGCCATTGGTCGGAGCGACACTCGGCCGCCGCTGATTGGGTGCACAGCTGGCCGCTGGCGAGCGATTGGTCGGAGCGTCGCGGCCCGGTCGATGAGTGGTCCACGGAGTTTGCACCGGCCGATGGTTGGCGGGTCACGCGCCACTCGACCTCTGATTGGTCAGAGGGCTCGCGCGCCTGCACGTCATTGGGATGGCGAGCCAGTCGTCTGCTTTTGGTCGAGGAACTTGATGGTGTCCGGGAACTGGCGAATCACTACCACCACCTCAACGCGCAGGACCTCCGTGAAGGAGCAGGCAATCATGCGGGAAACCGAACGCAGCAGCACGCGGGCATCACAGCGTGCGGCCCAGTGCCCATCTGGCAGACGCGCCCACATGCTGTTAGCTAGCGTGCCTCGTGCAGCCCGGCCCGATGCCAACCCGCACGATCACACCTGCCCGGCAGATCCCTCGTGTCGACGACATTGGCGACCCTCCGCGCAGCAGCGTCGTGACGCGTAAGCAGCCGGGCTGCGAGCGTGGGCCTGAAAACCTTCCCGCCGATCGGTGGACAGAGCGATCCTCGCCGCTGTTGTACCTTCTAGCGCTGCGGCAGCTTTCAGCCGGGCGGGCGTAAGGGACGAAAATAATCACGAAAGGAGCCTTCTACCGCTCCGGCAGCTTTCAACCAGGCGGCCGTCGGAGATGAGAATGATCACACAAAGTGATCCGAGAAGACCTCGGCCTCGGTGTTTGGCTTCGGCGGGGTTTCAGTTTCACTTTGTGGCTTTTGACGTGCCCCGCGCGGCGTGCCAATCCGCTGTTGTCATGAGCTCTGCAGGCGAGGCGAGGATTCTGTGGCATCATTTTCGCGACGTCGTCCACATCTTGGCTCGCCACATGTCGAACCTTTCCCTCCAGATGATCGAATGCTTGATGCACAGACGCGCGGACACGTGGCGCACGACTGTGAAAGTCGACGGAGAATCCGGCACGTTCGAGACGAGTTGACTCAAAACACAGTGCCATCGGCGGCACCACACCACACCACGTCCCAGTCCGGTGTCTTCCGCCTTCCGAGTTTTGGGCCGATGCCAAACCTCGACCGCGATGACCGCGCCCACGGTGGGCTGTTCATGAGGGTCAGCGGATGCGCCGTGCTGCTCCCGTTCTTACACGCTCCGGAAGTTGGATTGTAGCTATCGGGAAACACGACAATAAATACAGAATACTTCAACAGCAGCTCAACCCACCGTCCGAGGGACTGCCCTATTTTGCACCAGTTTAAGAGATGCAAACTTGACCGGTCATTGGACCTGCTTTATTCGTGCTCTAGTGCCGCGAGGACCATGCACGCCCCCCCCCCCCCCCCCTCCTACCAAATAACAAACAAGGAAAATAAGGGCCGAACTAGGACCATGAATACACTAAACAGACGACCGAAGACACATCCACTCAAGTTTCCCGCCACCATCGCCAGCCCGCACCCGTAAACGTTAGCACCCGTAAGAAGTTCATCGGTGCCCCCCCCCCCCCTCCGTCCCGATAGAGCTTGCCTTGAGGGGGGGGGGGGGGGGCTACGGACGGTCCGACTGGCGTCACCTACCGTCAAAGCCGCTCGCCGCGGCCGGTAGTGGCGGCGGCGAAGTGCGCACGGAGCGAGGAAAGGACACGGCCACAGGCCGGCGCCGCGGTTAGCTGCTCGAGGTCGAGAGCGAGCGAGAGAGAGAGACTGCAAAAAGGACTACAAGGGACGCGAGTGACGTCACAGAACGGTAAGAGGTTGCGGAGCTCATTTGTGCCAGCAGCATGCTGTCTGATAGCACTTCTGCGCCGCGTTGGCATACAGCCAAGCAGGTACGAGCGACGAAACCATAAACAAAACAAATCACTTGCGTCACAGATGGCGCCAGTGATGCCACAGAGGAAACAACGCAAGCAGAAAATGGAGGAAACGGCGTCCATATACAACATACAACACAAACCGACACAAAAAGCCCGACCAGACCGAGGAGCATCAGCAGCCGATGAAAGAGGGCTTCAAAAAGCGAATCCCGCCAACAGACCAAACAGAAAGCGACTAAAAGGTGAAAGAGACCGTTCCCGAACGTCGCCCGGACGGAGAACGTCGCCGAACCGTCGTCCTCGGTCTACAACGTCCGGGACGAAGCATACTTCAGCCTGCAAAATCAAAGATGCAACACCCAAGATGCCTCACTCTTACCCTACATCAAAAATGCAACGGCCTTTAGCTACTACAGCTAGAGTGGGCGCGTCTCAGCCGTAGAGGCGGACGCTCCGAGGTCGCACGGTCCAGAGACGGAGAGCCCGGAGAAGGCTGCGGCGCAGCACACTGCGCCCTACCCGAGTGTACCTGCAGAACGGCCAGGGCCACCGTGGCGCCGGCTATCGGCACCAGATTGCGCTCCACCCAATCCTCGCCGGCGCGCAGGCAGCCGCGCTCGTAAATGACGCCGCTCCTGTCACCCAGCTGCGGAAGCGCAAGTGCACGGGCCGCCGTTAGGTGGCAGCGCGGTGTCGGTGAGAGCAGCTGCGGACTCCGCATCCGGAGGCATGCGTAGGCGCTTTTCGACCCGGTCAATGCACAAATTAGTAGACTGCTAAGTCACACTGCATTGCAGCATTCTGTCACCGTGTATGGCATCCCCTGGCATGCGTTAGTGATGGCGCCACCTGTTGGCATGCAAAGAACGCGAAGGCTTTCGCCACGACGCCAGACGGCAGCAGTGTGGTGGGTGCGGTTGGCAAGAAGCGGTTCCACACCCGTGACGGTCGTTGGTGAGGGGAGAAGCTAGGTGACCAAAGCAAACTGAGCCAAGGCGTGGTCCACAGAAGCGGACAGAGACGATTCAGACGTGGGCCTCAGTTGCAAAGTGCTGGGGTCATCAGCCAACGACAAAACGACAACGCATTGCTCTGACCTCGCTTTGAAATCTTAACGCGGGAGATGAACTGGGGGGGGGGGGGGGGGCTCTAGGGGGATAACTGCTGCTAACGGTAGCAGCAACTATCAGTCAGTATAAAGGCTGTACCATGGCCTACCAAATACGACCCCAATATGACACCCTTGCCAAATAGTATCATCCCTGCCAATCATCCCACACGCTGATTGAGTAATATATACGGCATGGTATATAAGCAGGCTTTGATCGTACCAAAATCCACCCGCAATCGTAGTAGGCATCGATGCAGAGCACGCGTATAATTAAGCACACTCTTAGCAAAGTTTACAATAATACTGTGGAAGGGACACGTCAGACAGCTGCTAGAATGCTGGCACAGAAAGTGTTTCGTCCACACACAGCATCGCATAAATCACAGCAAACACGCTGTTTTAGCAAAAACTGTTTCGTGATCCGCGGTACAAAACGCACCAGCACAATGCACCCGGACGTTGACATGGACGGCGTACAAACGGATTCCACGGTGAATGCACTTTGCCTTATCATCACCCACACAATAACCCTTTTCACGCCTGACACCTTATCAGACATATGACAATGTGTCATAGCTAGGAGTGAAGTCATCACTTACGTAATCAGGACTTCTCACGCCGTAGCCGCACTGCTTGTTCCTGATGATCTCCTGTGGGGGAGGATCAGAGCTGAGCTCAGTATCGCCCAAACGCAACATTTGAGAATCTGAGAATCGACCAATCGCAAGCCTTGAAGGACTGCGTGTCGACCAATCGCTTGCTTTGAAATGATGGAACCCTACCAATCACAAAGAGCTTTGGCAGTTATGATAATTATTGAGGCTTCACGTCTTTGCCAGGGCCATTTCAAGACAGGATGCATTCTTTAGGACTGCGACTTTAGGACTCCATGTGGACTGCGGTGGTGGCGTGGCTGGGACTCTAACCTTTGAGAGTCGCCCATTTGCAAGCTTCGCGGTGAGAGTCGACCAATCGCCTGCTTTTAAACGATGGAAGTCGACAAATCGCAAGAGCTTTGGCAACATGAGAGTCGATCAATTAGTAGCTTTGGCGGCGCGAGTCAAGCCATTAGCAGTTTTGGCAGCATGAGTCCGCGCCGGGCGCGGGAGCGCCTTTCTTCACCGGCTTTGGGTACCGCCAGAACCGGAGAGGCTCTTGAGCTCACCCGTTCAATGCAGCGATGAAAACCCAGCAATAACGCGTGGAGTTTGTGTCTCTTTTAGGAAGACCACGATCCTCTCAACCTCTGCATTGGACGGTTGCCTTCCGGAAATCAAGGCTGACGCTACTAAATAATGTGAAAACACTTGCGATTCCCCCTCCCCCCACCCACATGATCACACCACAGAGCACCACACAGTTACCATTCGAATGGCCCCCATCCCCACCGTGACCTTGGTGACCCGGCCGGCACGGGAGAGGGCAACACACTCACATTCTCCTCTGGGATGCAGCAGCTGAAGGGGACGCCGCAGGCCTCGCTGCTGCCGACGGCGACAGCCGAGCAGTTGAAGTAGCGGTTGCCATCCCAGTCCTTGGGGCCCTCCACGCCACAGCAGTGCAGCTGTGAATGGAAGATCGTGGCAGTTCAGGGCAGGGCAGGGCAGGGCAGGGCAGGGCAGGGCAGGGCAGGGCAGGCAGGCAGAGCAGGTAGCACGAACCAAGGCAAGTTGGGCAAAGGTAAGCTAAAAAGTAAACTGAGTTGGGTCAGAGCCACTCACATATCACCAGGTCACATCACGTCGAATCAGGGGCCAGGGTGAGTCAGGTTCGAGTCACTCACTTACCGTCATGCCAGGTGGGGCCCAGTCAGGTTCAGATCAGGTTAGGTTACAGCAGAACAAACTAAGTAAGATTGAGGTCGCTCACATCGTATCTGACCAGATATGTTCGCATCGTGTCAGGTCAGATCAGGTCAGATCATGTTAAAAAGAGTCAGGTCAAGACACAGCAAAGAATTTCAGATGAACTATGAGCCTGCATGTCTAGTCACACTCTGATGTGACCTGATGTGACAAGGGATGGTCAGAGCAGATAACATCAGGCCCAGCTGGACCAGGTAGTCAGACTTTTTAAGTCATGCAAATCAATATATTTCATTTAAGTTATTCATATCAGAGTTATGTCCCTTTTTTAAAGTTTGGTAGTTTCTAAGTTCTTTGTTATTATTATATATATAGCTGAAATTCAAGTTCCATGATATGGCGATGAACTACCTGAAAAGAAATTTAAAAAGTACACAAAAATTGAAAAAATCAACCACAAAAATACATGAATACAGAGAAGAAAATCAAAACAATACGTGAAATACAAAATAAACAAAAAGTAAGATAAAAGATTGAGCTAATGATGATAAAGGCCTACTTGGGCATGAGGCGATCCTGGAAAATCTCACACCAACACACAACCACACCACGCAGTTCCCCAAAAGATCATTCAGGGTAACTGTGTGCAGCCCCGGCACAATCATAAACAAACAACACGCTCCCGTCACCTAGATAAAGTTGTCGCCTCTTCGTATTGGTCACGTGACCGACACCTCAGCAGGGCCACGCGCCGTGGCTTTGTGATTGTTGGTCACGTGACCGAGGTCAAAGTCAGCTTGAGGTCAAGGTCGTTGTTGTCCATTGGTGTTTTCGGGCGCGTCGACTAAAGTGGTCATTTTGCGCCCCTTGAGGTCAAGGCCAGACTAGTCAGGTCATGTCGGGGTCAAGGTCAGGTGACCGAAGCTCAAACGCCGCGGCACGACCAGCATTCCAGGGCGGGAGAGTTCGCAGCCATGGGGACGGCCGTCACCGCCAGCCGCTCCCCGTTCAGGGAGCGCTCCGCCCGGAGCACCAGTTAAAAATGCAAGCAACGCATTGGTTGATCTGTGGGCAGCGTGTTAAAATGCAGCCATCGCAGTGGCTGATGGATGTGCAGCACGTTAAAGCCATCTCGGTGAAAGGCAACACCGAGGTCATAACAACGTCAAAGCCCCGAAGGAGGCAAAATCAGCGGAAGATCCGTTTTATCGATGAGCAGGAGACCAAACTTAGAACAGTCCAAATTTGAGAATCAGAAATTGTCCGCCAGTGGTACCACTCCTCGACTAACATCCTGAGCGTTGATACGGTCAACACCTCACGCTGGGCTTAGTGGGGCGTCCAGTTCCGCCTGCGCCCCGCGCAAGCATCCTCACCCAGCCTTCCTGTATCCAATCGATGAGGTTCTGCTGGTCGGGATCGTCACGGTAGTGGACGATGAAGGCGCGGAAGCCCTCGGTGGCCTGCTCCTTGAACCAGTCCTTGAAGATGAAGCACAGGATGCCGCCCGTCATCTCCAGCAGCAGCAGGATCGCCAGGCAGATAGCGTACTGGGGGCGCCAGCGTCAGCCGGTCAGTCCCAGCGCCCGCACGTGTTCGCGTGGGAGCGAAACGGCGCAGTTGGCCGCCAGCTGGGCCATCGCGTGGGAGGCCCGGGTTCGATTCTCGGCTGGCGCCAAGACCTCTGGGTGCTGATGTGGACAGTGTAGTTGCTTGCATTCCAAACAATTGAGGATGACATCATGCTGCACCACCCTGGAAGAAAAAGCTTGCATGGGCTTGTTTACATATGATACAGAATAACCTCCCCTGATATAATCCTTCCCATCTGTCACTTCAATCAATCAGATATCAATAGTAAATGCCCATTTGGGAGCAACATGCCTCCACACTGACATGCCATTAAATGCCAAACTACTGCATAGGATAGACATAACTGCACTAAGTTGGATACTGTGTGCACATTTGATGATGTTGCGCAGTGTATTTGTTATTCTGTGTGAGTTTAGGGAAGGCATGTTGACTAATTTATGCTCACTCAGAGCCATAGTATTTCTGCTCACTTCATAAGCTCTGGCCAGGGGTTTGCATTCTGACATTACCAGTAATCAAATTTTGAGACAAAGTTCATTGACTGAAAAGATGGACAAATATGTGGTAACAAGACCATGGCTCATAACAGGACACTACATGTTTATCACCAATGCAAAATGGCAGCAATGAGAATGACTACATAGATACGGCTATCGCAGACCACTAATGAACAATGGTGAACAATGATTACATGTGTGCATCCCTCACTATGCAAGGGTGCTCATGGCATGGTGGTTCACATGTCTGTGTTAGCCACTAAGCATCTGGGAAACTGGAGGCACTGGGTATGATTCCCTGCTGTGCCCATCCTTCATGTCAGGCTGAGAGACAGGTGATGATATACAGCCAAGTGCATGGGGACTGTTGACTGCAAAAGTCAAGCAGGGCCAAGGGATAGCATTAGTTCCCCAGTGTTGAACTAAGCCCCTCTGACATGATGGGGACACAGACAATTTATTTGCTGATAATATACACCATGCTGAATCCTATTCCTTCTTGTAATATGCACTATGACAAACATTATTCCTACTTTGCTCTAAGGATCACTCAAGAACAATCATGCATGGTATGGAGCCCACAGTTATTATGAAAAAGCCTGCGTAACTTACAATCCCTTTGATGCATGCTGCATTTGGATGAAACAAAACAAACAATGGAGAAACCATATGGAAGGTTGGAATTTTTCCTCCTTATATAACATGTTGTCATATCCAGCTCCCTATTCAAATAGCAATGAATTTCCCCACATATTCTATTCAGCATCCCATACCACTACACACTGTGAACATAACCATGCAAAATTGACATGAACTCTCCAATTTCAGACAGGTCTTGACAAATGCAAGACTGCCCATCATGCAAAACTGGCATAGTAAAACTACATAACAAATGCAGAACAAAGGCACAGAAAGTGGTCATTCTAGTTACAACAAAAGAGCAATGGCCATTCAGACTATAATACAACAGCAAGTCACATTTAAATTGTAATAGAACAGTGGCAATTCAGATCATAATTACTGTAATTGAACCTAGGAAGAGGACCATAAGTTGACATGAAGAACTCAGGGTGTTGCAAACACACTTGCCCTGAATGCTCAAACCACATCTAACTGACACTAGATCAGAATAAGGAACCAATAACATAACAAGTGAGGCAATATTTGATGTCTACTCATCAAGGAAAAAACTTTGGCAAACATTTAATGTTTTTCTAAGTTGACTTCAATGATTTTAAGCAGGCACACTTGTTGATAACTCAATGACAGAATTGGGGAATGGTAGGAAGGTGTAGAGTCTCAATATTTTCTATATAGTCTGTTATTTCCTATGAAGTCTCTATGTCTTTAGACCAAAAACCTGTTTCAACTTTGTTTCCATATACAAAGAAAAAAAACCATCAATCACAACAAAAAATCAGCACACAACAATGGAACCAGCAAACAACCTGCTTTGAATTTGAATCATCAATGCAAAGTCAGTCACCTAATCAAGTTTCCACAAAGCGACAGAACATCTGTGTGAACAGTGGTTACTCACGAATGCCAAGAGGCAGGTGTTTTCACGCAATGCTCCCACACATCCTGTGAAGCCGATGATGAAGGTGATGGCACCAACAATGATGAACATGAAAGCTGGATCCATTGGGATGTGTGTCAGCTTGCTGAGGTTGTTGAATGTGTTCTTCTCTGACCATGCCCACACACCGATTGCCAGGATGGAGAATCCCAAGAACTGTGAATCAGTCAAAAACAGTCAGTGCAATTGGCTTCCACAAAATTTGTATTGCAAGCACATTCTCAACCAAGTGATGAACCTTACTCTGTATATACATCTGCATGCATAACACTCTTTTGCCTGTCTTTGTCTTTTGTTTCATTGTAACACAACACAAGTTATTCACTGGAAACGAGCATATGTCAAAGAGTCATCAAATACTTCACCCTGCCTTTGTTTCCGTGAAGTCAATGTCAATATTTGAGTACTCACCCAAAATATTATATTAAATCCAAAAATAACATATTTTAAACAACAGCTGACTTCCGTTCGGTCACGCCTGTGTCTATGAGATGGCATAACTGGGAAGATTTCACAGCCTTCAGGGACTATACATAAAATCAACGGCCTCTTCTGGTTAACACACTTATGGTGTCCTTAGAACACTCAGCCAACACTTCACACAAAGCGCAGATCACTCAATCAACGCCCAACAATCGCTATGCGCCGCCTGTTGCGAGGAAAACAATGCGCGACATGGACAGAGAACACCCAAGGAAGGGCATAAATCAAGGACACATGAATGGGAACGAAGGTGTCTGGCTCCCCAGCAGGAAAATGGTGATTTAGCTGCATTGTTCTCGTAACGTTTTCGATTTTGCCAGTTATTTAGCATGCCTGCAATATTAAAGCATACAGGGCACGGGTGTCGATTGACATTATTTTGAGAGCCCTGCCCCCCCCCCCCCAATGTTAAGTTGAGCCCGCCCAGGTTGACTCAGCTTCCCCCAGGTTTTTGGCGGGAATGCTACAAAAAAATGTGGGTAAAAGATGATCATAACACAAAGACTATATATATATATATATATATATATTCTTTGATCTCGCGGCGAAGTGGCGTCTCTTGCCACTCTCATAATCAAAAATCACGGCTACTCTCACCATAAGATACAGATCGTCACAGCTAAGCGGATAAACAATGCAATAAACATTCCTAGCGCCATTAGACACGCGGTGAAAAGCTCTGAAGATGAGGATGGCCTGAATCCTTCATGGATAACCCCGTTCCCGTCCCCCACAACCGAAATGCGTGCCGCCTCCCATGACCGCCAAAGAAGAGCGTCACCTGTGGCCTAAGGTGGCCTCTAAAGCGGCGCCTTCGTGTGTCGATCAGAAGAGACGGCTGCGTCCATTGCCTGCTCCCTGGATCCAACCACGCATGACTTCTGTGCTGCCCGAATTAAATATTTTATAAATCGTACAACGATTTATAACGTACATTTGAGCTAAATCAAAATAAAGTGGGGATAAATCCGGTGAGAAATTTGGGGCAGGGATAGGCTGTCGGGCCTTCATTTTGCCCCCTCCCAATAATTTACAAAAATTAAGGCCCCTGGCGCAGGGTTGTAGTTTCCTATGCGGTGGTGGGATGTAGCCCTGATAGTATCTCATAGGTAAGGGACGTAGTAATATTTTTCCAGTGGAGGTGTCAACTTTTCTTAAAAATTTGCGAATCTGGGCCATAGTTCTGCGAAATCACCGGGTATCGAACGCATATCTATCACTACAGAGGAGTGTAAGGAGGAACGTTCCCATTAACACTCTGCTTGGTTACGTAACTGCATGGGACCAAATCCACATATTTTGTATTATACCAGGTACCTGCGGAGCACAAATCTTGGAAAAAAACAGCCTGGATAACAGGTCGAGCTATGAAGGCATGGAAACGAGTCTCTTGATAAAAAATCCTTGAACTTCAAAGGAAAAACCTCTCAACCATTTTAACACGCGCTCGGGTGGAGGGACCAAATTGCCCCGAAGGTTTTTCCGGAACAGTTTCCGAACGTCGAGGCGTAGCCAAACGAGATTTTGCATAGCCGTAGACAGTCAAATATCGGATCGTTTGGCACTTACAAATTAAGATGTACCTTGTAGGGTCGCTGACCTATGACAGGTCAAAGTAAGGTCATGGTTTCAGCGAAATCAATTTCTATGGAATCGTTTAATGTGATGCAACAAAGACGTGTTAGACGAAGCCATACATCTCTGATATGCTTTCTTAGGCAACACAACAGTTATTGAGCAAATTACATTGACCTAAGGTCAGGTATGAATGTCAAACCAAGGTCAAAACCAGCCTGTTTTATTACTCTAGGGCCTGCTGTATGGGGTAGTTTCTGGTGTTCATTTCAAATTTACTGATAGCAGGAACCGCATTATAATCTTCCATGAAATTCTTAGATGTCAGAATAGGCCATTGACCTAAGGTGACCCAGGTCGACATTTGTTTTTCGGAACATGCTGCCTAGTGTAATCTTTGTCGCTTATTTAATGCAGAACTCAGAGCAGCTTGCATGAATTTGATTACCATGACCTTTAAAAGGCCAAACAAGGTCACTGACTTAAAATGAGGATGTGACCTTTTCCTTAGAAACGGTTATCTAAATTCTGGGGACATTTTGGGGACCAACCCGGAATTTGACCTTGTTTGACCTTATTCGACGCGAAGGTCATGATATAGGAACCTGAAATTTTGACCTAAGTGAGTTCACGTACAGGTGAATACACTCCGCAAATTTAGGTGTTTTAGCCCTCTTAGTTCCCGAGATCTCAGGGGGGCAAATTGACCTCCTCACCAGGGCGGAGTGCATCCAGTCGGCCACCCGGGCTCGTGTTAAAGCTGGATGCTGTGTAGGGACGTGCGATAGGCTTTTGCAAACATTCTCAAATGAACAGGGAAGTAATTAGGCGCTGTATCATGTATGACGGGTATCGCTTTTTGAAACCAAACTTGGAAAGCCTCTCTACCATCTGCGTAGGACTTTTTCAGTGAAAAATGCCCCCAAGGTTCAACGTCCAGTTCAGTTTCGGCTCGATGTTTAGTTTTTTTCTAGACACGGTTACATGATTTGCACTGGTTGTGTTGATGGAGATGCTACCCAATTGGGGCTAAACTGGAATGCAAAATAGATGCAAATTGAGACCTCGGTTGTCATGGCAAACGGTTGGTGTTGTCGATGGTGAGCCGGACACTGCGTCAGTGGTCTGGCCAAAACACTGGTAAATATGCGCTATGAATCGGAACAGAAAGTGCAGTTTAGTTCGTATTACACTCTGGGGGAATCCTTGCCTGTCTGTTCCCAGACGGCAGTGTCTGTATCTTCGGGGGGGGGGGGGGGCGGAACACCACCCCCTGTTTATGGTGACTTGAGTATTCTCCCCCCTGCCCGATGATCTACTGGGGTAATGAAAGGGCTACAAAAAATGAACTAAAGGAATGAGTAAAATTTCAGCTCTACTGGTACACTTGGTCCCTAGAAACAGCCCGGTAAATTTTGTTCGTTTTGTTCCAAAATACTACAAAAAGGTACCTGACGTTTTGGTACGTCAATTCCTTCATTTGTCAGACCAGTCTGCAAGTGTTTGACTTTTAAGACCCACCCGGGAGACTCATTCGGTGAGCAGCTTTTAGCTTCGCTGTCCTCCCAGTAATCGACATATCTGTTGAGAATGTATTGCAAATTTAATTCTGTTTTTTAAACATAGGTTCATGATGGCAGTGTATTTTTAAAAATCGGCTGGCTCTCATCCGTATTCGCCAAACCACGCCATTCTGCATAACACCATCTTTTACGCCCGGGGCCGGCTTCGTTAAACGACGAGCTGTACTGGCAGCGCGGTTGAACGCTGATGACAAGGGCTCGAATTGCCAAAATGCTTTTTCCCGTAGATTACATTCCATCCAAAAATCCTCTATCTGAATAAGTATAGGTTCACATGACCTTTAAATGGGAGGTGGTTGCTCATAAACAAAAAAACTAGAATATTACAAGTTGCACAGTCATCTTTATCGTCGAGGACACAAACTGAAGTGTCCAAAACCCGAGAAGAAATCCCTTTTGGGGAAAGGTCAGGTCAACCTTACCAGTTCAGCTACAACCGATTTTAGGAAGTGGCAACTCTGGGTCCGCTTCAAACGCATTCACATTATCTAACCTGGGTGCCAGTTTCTCAAAATAATTGGGGAGCCAGAGTCGCGAAGTCATCAAAAAGGACAGCAATGAAAATCCTGGTGTCGTGTATATATATATATATATATATATATATATATATATATATATATATATTATATATGTGTGTGTGTGTGTGTGTGTGTGTGTGTGTGTGTGTGTGTGTGTGTGGTGTGTGTGTGTGTGTGTGTGTGTGTGTGTGTGTGTGTGTGTGTGTGTGTGTGTGTGTGTGTGTGTGTGTGTGTGTGTGTGTGTGTGTGTGTGTGTGTGTGTGTGTGTGTGTGTGTGTGTGTGTGTGTGTGTGTGTGTGTGTGTGTGTGTGTGTGTGTGTGTGTGTGTGTGTGTGTGTGTGTGTGTGTGTGTGTGTGTGTGTGTGTGTGTGTGTGTGTGTGTGTGTGTGTGTGTGTGTGTGTGTGTGTGTGTGTGTGTGTGTGTGTGTGTGTGTGTGTGTGTGTGTGTGTGTGTGTGTGTTTGTTTGTGTGTGTGTGTGTGTGTGTGTGTGTATGAACACCAGTTCGTTGAACATAACAGCAGTGTCCTTGCTTGTTATCTCCCGAGATGAACCTTCCATCTTGCGTATCAAGCGCTTGCTTGCTCCCTGTGTTGTGCTTGTTAAAAACAAAAGCAAACTCACTATGAGAAAAGTCCAAGGGAGCACATTCTTGTCCTGTTCCTTATACTTCGTTGACGTGTAACCAATCCTTTGACCTTTTCGTGACATATAGCGTAAAATCACATTTATCACACTGACTACACATGATGATATCAGGTGACACCCACCATGGCTGGCGTTTGATTGGCAACATAGAATAGCCTAATCTACACAGCGTAGCTTTCAGGCAAAAAACAGAAGACCAGCATACTCCTTTTCATTTTAATTTTCCATCAACAAGCGCAACATACTGGTGCTAGGTTCCCCATGAATCTACTTCAAAACAAAACTTATGGAAACTACTGTCAAAAAGCTAAATCACCTCCCGCTAAAATTCTGTTTTTCTGAAGCACACTACCTTCGCATGCTAGCTCTAATCCGTGGGAAGATACCCTTCGTAGTCGTAGTGGTGGTGTCTACCATTTGCTTTCTGTTGAGTTGCTAATCATGGTGGGATTGCGTGTTTTTAAGACCGCTGCAGATCCTTTTCACTTTTAATGGACCTGTTATTGGCTCATTCTAAAAGTCAGCACATCTTGGAGGGTAACCTTTTATTTGTGAGAAAAACTGACATGTCATGTGCGATTTTGTATGCATGCACGTCCGTCGTGTTCGAAGCCTGCGCTGCACGCACTTCATTGGTTGCGAGCCAACTGCAGTCCGTTGATGCCAAAAATTGTGCTGACGTACCCCAGACGCGGACAACTCGATGGTCATATTTTTGTTGGCCTTTAACACTGCAGGCAAATGAGGTAGCAGTAATTGCGTTACGTTTTTATGACGTCATGCATGCCTATGTAACTTTGAAAAATTCTGCATAATTTCGCGGGTGCCTAGCTCAGAAACCAGAGTTCATTAAGTCTTAAAATGGGCAGAGCTGTCAAGCG